TCGATTTGAACATTTGTTCAAAATTAAAATCTATTTCAAGCTTTTTATTGATACTTGAAACATTCATTTAATGCTCTTGATTTGTTTGATAATGTTATTTGTTTATTCTGATGTTTAATTATCATTAATTAATGATGTCTGGTCTTCAATAAATTTTTTTCAGATACTTAATTTTTTTTCTGATAAGTTTCGAAACCCTATTAAATGCTTTTCATCTTTTTGTTGACCCGATTTAAATTAAAACGCGCGAAGTTTTTCCCAACAAGGCTGATTTTGCTGATCAAAAATCGTACGAAACAAACTGGAAAAGAATCGAAAAGGTAATGGTTTTCAATTTTTGAACAACTTGTCGCCTCTGCTAATTGAAAAATTCCAAAAACGGATATGTAGTGTACCACTTCAAATCAATCGTTAAAAAGCATTAGTTAATTACTGAATGCAAGCACGCATCAGAGATTGGTACCGCGACAACTGGCAACAAAAGACAGCTCGTAACAAGTAGAGCTGGCAAGTTTTAAGGAAATCGACAACTCGCAAAGCTTCAAAATCACTTATTAACTGACCAAGTTTGGTTTAAGGTTACAAATAACCGGCTCTAAATTTTGTAAAAAACACTTTTTTTGCAGTCAAGCTTGCAATATATTGGTGCAAAAATACCAAACTTAACTTTGTGTATTTTTAACTTGACAATCAAAAAATAAACAGAGTCTTTGCACTCGGTGTGATTCTTCCTTTCTCTGGGTAAAATATGACTTCTAACTAATAGATAGCTTAAAAAAACAATGTAGTATTGAAATTGCTCTTTCATTACAAATTTTTTCAACTATTACAAACTTTTTATGTATTCTTTGATATGAAATTTGAATGAGCAGTTTCAGTTCTACAATGATTTTTCTAAGTTGACTATTAGTTAGAAGTCATATTTTAACCAGAGAAAAAAATCACACCGAGCACAAAAATTCCGTCACTTTTTTTACTTTGAATTTAAAAATACACAAAATTAGGTTTGGCGCATTGGCGCATTGGCATGGATTTGACTCATCAATAATTTAAAAAAGAAATAGTGCTATAGTGAAGTTATTTTGCCTTCTACAGCTTTTAACAAATTTATCGGACAACGTGCTAAGTTTTTGAAATAATTGTGACCTTGAGACAGTGAAATGGCGTTAAAATTGCAATCGATTTTTCAAAACTGCTTTCGAACTGACAAATGAGCAATGCAAAACGATTGCGTTTTTTCGGAAAATTTCTTTGTTGGCGTTTTCCAAGAGCTCAGAAAAAAAAACTTTTTCCTTAAACAACAATTTGCCATGTAATACTTTAAAGTTTTTGCCATTTAATTTTTATTTAATAATTTTAATACGTTGTCCGATAAATTTGTTAAAATCTATTACTACGCTTTTGAAATTGATCTGTTTTGCTCCCAATTCAAAAGATTGTGTCGGGTTATTTGTTAACTGCTAAACTCTCAAGTGGAATGTTTTTATACCCGATGAAAACTATTGATGTCATCCGTTATTGCAGTAAGAATGAAGTTTTTCCGAGTTGAGGGTTAAAAATTGCAATTCAGTTTTCCATTAACAAGTATTCAAAGT